TACTTCACTAGTCTCCAGGAAGTAATCATTCTTACGCTTGAATATACTTTCCCTATGTTGCCGCGAGTTTTTATTCGTATAATTTCATTTCCACTGAGTCCATCGGCTATTATTATAGTATTAGAAGGCAGTGCAAATGGAAAGTCGTTTTTATTAAGCGCGAAGCTGATTACGAAACTCAAGCAGTAACAATGATTATCAATGAATATTACTGCTGTCATATTTACGACTAATAAATGTTGGAAAATGACATGTTTAACAATAAATACGATTTATTTTATTGTTAAAATAATTTTCTCTCAGCAATCATTTAACGTCGCCCCAGTAAATTAATAACGTCAATATGTCCGTTCGGTTTGTCTTTCGATGAAAGTTATTACGTGCGATATTTCACGAATCAGGAAACCCCGAGGACGCGCTCGGTGAAATTGAACAATCAGAATTCTGCGAGCGAATCGTTAAAACGCGTGTTTTATATCTTTAACTGCCATTTGGAACCTCAGGATTATTAATTATTTAATCGTTTTACCCCGATAATTTATCCCAAAAGCTCTACAAATACTTTTCCTATGTAAAAAAAATACACTTGTAATAAAACATATCAGTTTTCCGTTATCTTGACACAAGCTTGATATCTATTATTAACTTAATCTTGATTATTATTATATAGATTACGCATTTGTTTGACATGTCACATTTTTGCTTTAAATCATCGTTTTTAGCACTTCACGTTTAAGAATAGCCGAATTTATTCTGGAAAAAAAAAACGAGTTTTTTTACATTAATTGTTTATAATAAAATTGCAAATAAATAAATTAACGTAATTTTTCATGAAAGTTGCATCCCTAAGAGTCTAAAAAGTACTCATATGCGCAAACTGCAAAATGGATCAAAAAATTGGAAAAAACTAAGAACAAAAAAATGGGACATACCACTGCCCCTCAAAGGATTAACAAATGCTTAAAATTTGATTCAAGTTTTTTAAAAAGAGTTATCACAACCCCCTTCACATTTTTTGGTTCTAAAAAGTACGATATGAATGTGGTTTGTAAATTCCAGTTCCCAGACTATTCCGCCTTCCTTCTTCTTTTTTTTCACAAATTCTTCATATCTAACACGAGCACCTCGACACTGCAGGTTCTACATTCTGCAAATGTCTTGTATACAGAAATTATTCAGTATATGATTCGTAATATCATTAGTTAGAAAACGAGTGGTCTCCCTCGTTCATAATCGCTATAAGTAAAATATTAAAAAGATAGCGGAGAGTGTCCTAGTGACCTAAAGATAATAATCTGTTGTAACATAAACAGCATACTTTGATCTTCCGCTACAGAGTCCTTCTCGTTTATAAAGAAGACGTGATGATATCGATAACAGTAAATAAGACGCAGCTGTACCAGACCAGTGCGATTAAAACCAGTAACAAAACGTTGTGGAATAAAGTTCATTATTTGGTTCTCTTATTCTCTCGCCATCATTTAATATGATTTAATATACGTATATAATTTTGAAAGAAGAAAAAATTAAGTTTATGCAATGGATCACAATTTTCAATTTTCTCGTCTCTATTTTTAGTGATTCAAATAAACTGAATCTATTTGAATTACGCATCCTCCATTTAAGACAGTGACTTTTCTATCAGTCTAAATAAATTTCATTAGCGGCTATCGCAGCTGTTTATTTAGATCAGGTCAAAGTTACTCATACCGATAAAATTACGAAACAATTGCTTCGGAGCGTCTGACAAAGAGATGTAATATGTTAATAGTATACAAGACATAGTTTTCTTTTGTTATTCATTTAAGAAAATCAACGTTAAACATTTAAATACATGTAGAAACCGAGAACCTCTTTTCCATCCTACAATCGTTGATGAGGTCAGCGCCATGCAGATACAACTGGTGAACCTGAGACGGCATAGTAAAAGCAATTGTTACGCGACGTTATTCAATCGTCTCTAAACGGACAGAAAGGACAATGTGCGGCAGGTCGGGATTACCCAATGGCAGCTACAACGTGACTTTCTCTGCGCGAAACACACCTGTGTACCGGTGGCACTGGCCTCCGAACTTCTGCCTATCGGCGATACCTTTTTATCGGCTAATATACGCGAAGGAAAATCCCCCCATGGGCAGGATCGAGCGGTTTTAGAAAGTCGCAGCGAATCTATACTTGCGGCCGATGTCGTTTCGTGTCGCAAAACTACGGTCCAGGCTGGTACCGAGCTTTCTTGTGAAGATTTATGGTTCTCCTTATTTCGCTGGAAATCGATTTATGTGGAAATTTATATGAAGAGATTTGCGATATCAATGCGAGAATTCCACGAAATAGTCTTAGAAGGATCCCACTTCCGACGAATTAAATGAATTCAAGATTTTACAACTGAAAATTCTCTTTATTTAGATTACTTTGTTTAGACAATTTATTAAAAAAAGAAATACTTTAATTAACATATTTAAAATGTCAGGCTAGACACACCGATTTGTTTTCGCAAGAAATCTTTACTTTTTTTCAGTCTGCAATCGATTGACGTAGGATGATTAAATTCCGCAAATTATCATATATTTCTATGCGCAAAATGAATTAAAAACCATCTCGGATCTTCAAGGTGAGAAGACGAACGTGCGTGAAAATCTGACGAAGATGATTCATTCTCCTTCGATCGTGTCATGTAATCCCTTATGAGGGCACCATCGTCCCGTGAAAAAAGGCTTTGTGTCTGAACAAAAGATGTAGGAGTTTCGTTTCGATCGAAGGGCTTTCGATTAAAAACCATCCAACCATACTCTTTCATTAACTAAGGGGAGGAATTCTCTCGCTCTGTGTTTCTCTTTCTCTGTCTTTTTCTTAGTTTTGATATTTCAATAACAAAGCTAAAAAAAAATATTTCTATTACTGTTATTTGAATCCGATTATGTATATAATTTCACAGTGATTAACTTAGAGCGATTTTGTTATAATCATTTCTATTTTATCATTGATACGTAGATAGGAATATGAAACCAGTTGGAACACTATTGAATTACTAATGGAACACGATGTTATGAATAGCAACGAGTTTCAACGAAAATCGATTAAGGATCGGTTACGCCACGACATTGATCAGCTAAACTTGTTTAATTAAAATAAATTGAAAATCTGTTATAGATAAACCTGAAATAATTATTACTTTACGTAATATTTATTTTTCTATAGGATTGAAATATCTCATAAGTTGTTATTGTATTAATAATATATCGCTGTGCATTGATAAGAAAATGACGTATTTTAAAATTAGCAACTTTTCCGTAAAGTATTTTTTAAAATTATTAATTGGAAATATTTTAATTGATCTCAATTTTTATAACTTTACTTTCTTTTCATGTTATACATGTATATTTTTAATTATAATGTATTCTTTAAAGCTATGTTATAAGTTTTCAAAATTCGAACATTGCAATCCTAATATAATATAAATTTAAAAAATTTTGATACTTTTTCATATAAACAAACGAGTTGAAAATGTGTCGTTTTTTCGCAAAAATATATTAGTCTTTAAGTCAATTTTTTTTTATTATTTAAAAAATAAAATTTTTGTATCACTTTTATGAAGAATAAAATTGAAAAGATACATTAAATAAGTACAAGAAAAGATAGCAATGTATACAAACTGAGCAATACGGATTAAAGTCAGTAAGCATTGTAGTTTAGTAAACGATCCGCTTCTATAAAGTGCAGTCAATGATAATGTTGTTAAGTTTTCAGCACGCCAAACACGTAATATTGAACAATGTAGGTCAAGTCTGACGACACTTTTCTACATGATTTCAATGACAATAATCCTAAATGTTTCCCTCGCACGAATCCTCCGATGCTTCAATCGCTTACCCAAGGGACTGAAATTGATGTTTCAATTTCGGACCGGCCACAAATAAGTTCAGACTCTGATATATTCCGGAGTTCTTTAGAAATATCTGAAATAAAATAACGACAGATTCTTCAAACGATAAGATCTTCAAATATGATATATAGTCCTTCAATCCCGTGTGTCTTTATATTTTCGTCTATTTTTGTGCTCGTTTAAATTCTTTACTTGATCTCTTCATTAAAAATTTTGTAATATCCAACACCAACGACACTTTTAATGTCTTAATTGTAAAGTAAAATGTCTCGTTTTATTGGCTTGTTTCAGTGAAATCTCATTTCCATAAAACCACATCGTAAGAAGTCAAGCCATGACTCTTTATGACGTAAATGACGAGTTTTTCCGCACGTTCCAACTATGGGAAGCGTTGAATAAGCAAACAGCGTGATTATCGAGCGCACTCGAGCCGATTTAAGAGAACAATAAATTTTTCTAACAACAAAGCGAAGAAAAGACGAAAAAACGTTACAATGTATTTTTCGCGTTACGCGTTCAACGAACCACGACGAGAGATTCAATCTTGCGCACAGCAATTCGCCCAGCAACTCACTTTGCATTTCTCGCGGTATATACCTACACGCAATGCGTTGTAAATGCAAAACACTAATTGGACAGATCGGAACGTTTCTTATATCTGAATAAAGCTTGCTTTCTACAGTTTTTACACAATAAATGATTTATCGATTGCAAATCGACAGGAATTCGTTTGCAGGAAGTGACTATTGTTCCGACTCTGTTAAATTTCCTCCTTTAAATTTCGCTTCTAATTACGAAAAACACATAAATTTTTATACATCCTTTGTTTCACGAGCTCATAAAAATGCCACAGGAATCCAACAGTATACAATACGACTCAACAACCGTAACGCATTTATTATTGTTAACGATTAATTATTATTATTAACTTCTTTTTTCTTAATTTAAAGAATAATTTATTTTTAGCTTTTAAAGAAAAAAAGAATCTTTTCTTCTTTATAAATCCTTGATTACAATTTAATATTATTAATCTTAATCTTAGTCTTAATCCTTGATTTTCTAGCGATATATTAAATGAAATAATGATTGTAACGGTTTATCGTACTTTCGCTTTCAGATGTGGCACTTGACGTGCGTCGACCACTTTTTAAATCGCGCGTTTTATAAGGTTGGCCTCTATGTCGGTAAACATCCCGGCTACTTTGTAATCGTGCCGATGCTGTTGGCGTGCATATGCTTTACCGGTTACCAGAGGATACACTACGAAATCGACCCGGAATACCTCTTCTCGCCCGTCAACGGACCTGGCAAGACCGAGCGAGCGATAGTCGAGCAGTACTTCAAAGTCAATTATAGCCACCAATTCAATCTCGGTCGTATCACACGACCAGGTGAGAGTCTCGTCAATCATTCATTCTGCCGTTCTCGCGATTTCTTTGCCCGCAAGGAATTCCGTGAATCCAACAAGCCTATAATCCTTTCAATCGAGAGTTGGCATAAATAGAGATAACGTACTTCTTGTGCCTATAGGATTCTCCAGAAAAATTTTACGATACCTTTAATTATTTAATACTCGCTTTTCATTTCTTTTAAAATACTTGAAGCGATCATAACTTCCAACGTTAAAAATCTCTCAAGAATTTGTTATTTTTAAAAAATAATATTTATTTTAGATGAACTTTCTTTAACTTTCTTGGTCTCTACATTACAAAATATTTTTATGATTGGATCTCCTACCAACTTTTTATCTTCGCCGCTTTTATGGGAAAGTAACAGAGAAGCCAATCGTGATTTGCTATCATCGGAAGAATAGCTTGCCTTCCTGGTTAGTGATCGATTGAATCCGTTGATTGTTGCAGGGCGATTCGGTCATGTAATCGTGATTCCCAAGGATGGCGGGAATAATATGCTGAAGAGCGCGATTTGGCAGGAGCTGAGGGAGCTCGATTGGTTAATCAGGAACGTCACGGCGAAATACGAGGACGAAGAATTTACGTACGACCAAATTTGTGCGCGATGGCTCGACCAGTGTTTCACCAACGACATCCTAAATCTTCATCACATAATAAAGTACGCGAGACGAATGAAAGAAAAGAAATAAACGATTCCGTAACGCGTGAAGAAGTGGAACGCGTTTCAAAATGCGCTCGTTAATTCGCTTCGAGTTTCAAATGGAGCCTTAAACTTTTTCAGGGAAGTAGAGAGGCGAGAGCTAAATCTGACGTTTCCGGTGATGTTCAATCCGGTCACCTGGGACGCTCATCTGTTTCCGGTATTCTTCGGCGGAAGCGTCGTCAATAATGATTTCATCATAGAATCGGCGCCCTCGGTGCAGCTCGCCTACTTCATCACCGTCGACAGTCCACGGCAGGATGCAATGTAAGTCCACCGATCACGTTTGCAAACACGTCGAAACTCGCTGATGGAATTGGTCCAGTTATTTCAATCACACACAACAGCAACCTCAAACGTAACGTTTTGACCGTTGTTTACCGACACGGGAGTGCTCGAAATGAAATATATATGCTTTATGCGTACGAATATTCGCGAATTTTATATTGTCGCTCTCAAAAATAATACCGATAGCAATTTTCTATAAATTTCGATATTTCGATATGATTATTGTGAAAAACTAAAATCTTATTAAAATAAAACTAAGGTACGCCATATAAAAATTAAAAAATTTGTAATCTAATTTTTATATACATATTTCATTTTTGTCACGTAGAACTGCATAATGCATTTTTACAAAACCGGAAAAATACTAAATTTGAATAAATATTTGTTTCAATAGTTTTAAGTAAATGTTTACTAAATGTAAATATATATTTATTTGATACAAAAACCAGTTTGATTTAACTATCATTTTTTATTGAGTAAAAAATTGAATTTTTATTTATTGTAATTAAATGTTTACTTGATACTATTCAAAGAAATATGCATTAAGGTTTAGTAAATTTTTTTTCAGTGTATAAAAATTATGATTCAAAATTTTTTAACATTTATAATAATCAACCATGCTCGTGTGTGCAAGTGGTATCTCATTAATTCACCACATGGTCGTCAGTCGGACATCACCAATTGAATCATCTATTGCTATCAACGGCGTCCGTGCAAATAATAAGAGTCTGATTCACCCGTGACCATATTATATTGATTGCCTATTGTTATCGTTAAAGATGGTAAAGCACATGTATATTGATGTAGCCATTGTTTCGGATATATTTTAACTGTGAATCGAGTGAAATTAATTATTTCATAAAGTACTTAGGAAGTTAAATTTTAGAAAAGAAACAAAATCAAGGTTCAATAAAATCTACATAATTTTTCGACTAAATTTCTCATGTTTTACGCACGCGACAGTCTTCAGTATATTCTTCAGAATTCTTTGGTATAATTAATTTCTTAAAATATGTAAAAATCTAGCTCGAGATTGCTAAGTAAAAATTAGTAGTTGAAAAATAAACAAATACGAGCAACGTGTTTATTGGATCTTTAAACATAAACTAGTTTATTATAACATGCATTAAGAATTAAACTTGTTTTTTATACAAAAAATAAAGTTAATCGGAAACGTCCAGGACTGAAAAAGATTTAGTACAGTGTGTCGAAACGTTTCCGATTAATTTATAAATAAAAAAACTAGTTTAATTCTTAAAATGTATGTTGTAATCAACTAATTTATAGTTTATTCCAATAAACGTTGCTTATGTTTTTTGACCTTTCTAATTACTAATTTATTTCTTTTTCAATTTGTCAAATCAGCGGCGCTGCTTGGGAAGAGGCTTTTCTGGATGTTGTCGGCAAGGCCGAGGATGAAGGTGCATTTAAGCATATTAGCATCGCGAGATTCGCCTCGAGGACCCTCGAACTGGAGCTCGAGGCCAACACGAAGACGATCGTGCCGTATTTCACCAGCACGTTTGTCATAATGGCCCTGTTCTCAGTCGTGACGTGCATGATGACCGATTGGGTGCGCAGCAAACCTTGGCTTGGTCTTCTGGGCAACGTCTCTGCCGCCATGGCGACAGTCGCCGCTTTTGGATTGTGCATCTACCTGGGGATCGACTTCATCGGCCTCAATCTTGCCGCGCCATTCCTCATGATAGGTGAGCTGCGATTGATATTGTTACAATATCTCTATGAAAAAAGCGAGCTAATCTTTCAGTATGAAATAATTAATATAAATGCACGAAGTTTCGTATTTTAATATAGTTGCAATATATTTTAGAAATTTGACTCAAAATTCTTTCATTATTAATCAATAATATTTTTAATCATTTATAGAAGAAATTTTGATTATTGTGTCTGATTATAATTTTATTTGACTAAAATTATTTCGAATTCGTCAGATATTTTTTTTTATAAGTTTGGAACGCTATATATGTAATTCTTTCGCTATGATTATTGTTACTTTATAAACCTTTATTGCCTCGGAAATTTGTTACAATCGATATTTAAATTGATACCTGGTCTGTAAGTTGAGCAATGAAAATAACGTCCTAAGTTTCGCCTTTTCTGCAATACTATGCTGTAATCTCCTGTCGCGTCTGTAGAAACACGTGTTCTTGATAAACATGTTAGCTTGCACCGTCTGGTGCATACGAGCGAAATAAACGAACTATGATTTATGTGAAAAGCGGAAGTCGTCTTTTCCCTTTCGACGTCGCGCTTGCCTGCATTCGACGCCGAACAATAATAATGGCTTTAGCAATAATAATAGCTTTATTCGATCCAATCGACTGACCGCAATTCTCAAAACGACAATTATTCTCTTGAATTTCATCCAAAAATAAGGCAGTTCTTCATATTGTCTGATTTAATTCGATTAATAAAATTAAGTCGAATAAAATAAAGTGGAGACGATTTTTGGAATCTTCGAAAGTCGATCAATTTATTTCCTGTGATAAAATTTAAGAATTTGAATAAAAACTAGTAAATTCACTGAGATCTTAAAAAAATACTTAATAAATTACACAATATTTATAATTTTATTATAAAAAGTTTTAAATAGATAAAATAGAACTAAATTAAATATCCGATGGAAGAAGTGTCATATGATAGATAACATCTTCATTAGTCACAAATAATTACACATCGGTTTAATGAAACTTTCAACAAATGAGAAATGCATTGTCTCGTGGTTTTGATTTATCACAAAGAACACGTTTTCTATTATTATTATTTATGCTCTCTGAGAAATTGAACGTGACACGTGAAGACAAACGTGACATCCAACCGAAGAATCGACGGTGATAAATTTTCAAGAAATAATTAACTATATTTAGAAAATGCGTTGATTACTTTAAACAATATTATTTTTCTTGGAAAAGTACTTACAATTAACAATTTTATCGCATGCAAAGAAACAGTTTGAAGTCTTTTAGAATTAATATATTATATATTGGATATATAATATGAGAGAAATTTACAAAAAAATTCAATAGAAAGATTCGTACAACTTAAAAAATGATAAAGAAGGAAATTTTGAAAAATTACTCTTTGAAAATATACATTAATAAGTTTAAAACGAGGGGTTCGTCACTGAGATAATTTTTGTACGGGCTAGATAATCCAAAGTAATTTTTGATAAATCTAAATAATTTTTAGCGTTCTAAGGTATTTTTTTATTTATACTTAACTTGATTAGTCGCAAAATTTTTAATTTAACACTAAATTGTGATATCGTTTAACAAAGAGTTTGTTATTATTGGTGTTTTTTTTTAATATCTTTTATTTTATAAAATACCTATTAATATTTATATTCAATTGGATATTCTATTAGTATAAAAAAAATCTCAAACGTTACGAGTAGTCAAACTTGTTACTATCTATACATATAATACATATTCTGTTTGCGAAATTTTTATATTTTTGTGTTCCTGCATGCAATAAATATTTGTTTTGTAAAATTGGGTTTTTTTCGTAAACAATGAAAAAAATCTAAAGTCGATGTTCTCGAAGATACTTATCATAATGGTCTATAAAGATATTTTAGAGTGATCTGAAGAAATAATACTTTATGTACTCGTATAAAGTAATCTTAAATGAGCAAAATAAATTTGGAAAAATCTCGGGTAATCAGAAAATATGACTTTGAATATAATTTTAAATACTCTAAATAAAATAATATGAGATAGTATTTGATAATTTGAAATAATTTTTTGAGATGATATTAGGTAATCTTAGGTAATCCGAGGTAATTTAAAGATCCATATCAAGGGTAATTTTTGTACATTATAACTGCTAATAACCAACCCCTTTCAATTTAAAATCTAAGTCTTGGAATTACACATTGGATAATATGAAATTCGTAAAGAATTTATGCTATAAAAAAATTGTAGGACTTAAAAAAAATGATGATACTAAAGAAAACAATTATTCTTTAAAGATATACATTAATAAATTTAAAGTTTAATAAGTTTAAAGTTTATTTTTCCTTTGCATAACTCAGATTGCAAGAAATTGTAATTGTCAATTGAGCGTGCCTTTTAATTACAGGAATAGGGATCGACGATACTTTTGTCATGCTAGCAGCCTGGAGAAGGACGAGTATCTCCAAACCAGTACCTGAAAGGATGGCGGCGACATTGAGCGAAGCTGCCGTTTCCATCACCATCACGTCCTTGACAGATATGATATCTTTCTTCATTGGCATCTTGTCGCCCTTCCCTTCAGTTCAAATTTTTTGCATTTATTCAGGTATCAAGATGTCCGAATAAATCAAGCTGTACTTAAGCAAATTATTTAAAAGCTGATATTACAATTTACTAAAGATAAACTACGAAAACGAACGTAAAGACAGTAAAAAGAATTTAGTATTTAGAAAGTTCATCATAACTTTCTGATACGTATATTTGAGTTCGTAAATTTTTTATTATTAATATTAAATACGCATTAATTGACAGGTTTCGCAGTGGTTTTTACTTTCCTATTTCACATAACGTTCTTCAGCGGATGTGTGGCGATCAGTGGTTATTGCGAACAAAGAAATTTGCATAGTGTTATCTGTTGCAAAGTGCAGCCGCTATCTAAATCCAGTAAGTATTGCAATTGTTATATCTACAGGAATATAATTTTATCTATTTTACATCATCGTATTTAGATCTTCTTACAAAACCGTTATTATTTATGGTATGATGGTAATTCTCGGCAATTTATTAATTTCCAATTCTAATTACTCGCAAATGCTAATTTCTTGTAAATTTACAATTACGTTATTGTTTTCTCTCTCGCTGTGGGTCGTTGTTATTCACTACCGTTTGAAATCTCGTTACGTCTGCGTGACGTATCGATGTTACATCAACGGACAGACATGCATTACGTTCGGAAACCGTTAATTCGTTAGATCATACGGTATTATATAAAGGAAAGAGTTTGCTTTCTCTGTATTCTTTTTTCCAAACATTGTCATGCCAACGACTGTAAACTGCCGAAAAAGAAAACATCGATATTGCTTCGGTCTTATATGCGGATTATAATATTATGCAACGTGTCTTAGAATCAGCGAAGAACTACAACAAATAATATCTTTTTTAATTGAATTGTTATTTTAAATGACATATGTCATTTCAGCTCATCGATCGTGGCTGTACAGAGCATTGTGTTCCGGCGGGATTGATCCTGACAATCCTGACAATCCGATCGACAATCCCGAGCACGGATGCATGACTTGGTTCCGTGATTATTTAGCAGCTGCACTGAATTATAGCCCTGTGAAAGCGATAATCATCCTCATTTTCGTATGCTATCTTATCGGCGCACTTTACGGACTTACGAACCTTAAGGAAGGCCTCGATCGACGCAAACTTTCCAAGGAAGATTCCTACTCGATCGCCTTTTACGACCGCGAGGACTATTATTTCAGAGAATTTCCTTATAGGATACAGGTAGATATATTCGCAAATTTCGTTTCGAAAGTTATAAAATTCGCGAGGCAATCGAAATACAAATTTTTCAATTGCTTATTACATATGCAATTTTTCCAAAATTTTTTAACATATCGTTATATTTTATTGTCGAATTTTCATCTGCTTGAATATCTGAAAACTATATACTAAATACCAAAAAAAGTTGCGAAAAAATTAAATACTGTAATATGGCATATAAAAAAGGTTTGTAATTTAACATCTCGATTGTTGATCAACAACTTCATTGACTACGCAAAATAATCGTGTTTCTACAACCGCGATAGTTCTCACTACTTTTTGTTTCTTGAAGTAAGATCTTTCGATCAAAAAAAAAATATATAAATATATTTATAGAGAGATATCCGGTTATCGTGCATGCGAACTCACGAGAGATATTTCCTCATAAGCGCAAAAAAAGAAACACGTTCGGAAGAACGGAGTGCGTTATGCTTGAAACTGCCACGCATAATCCGGTGTGCGCAATTATGTCACGTGCTCTCCGACACGATGCGATATCGTGCAAACAACTTTCTCCGACTGGCTAGTGTGAACCTCAAGAAAAGCAATGTCCGTTACATCACGATTCTTCAAACCGATCAACGAGAAAGACTAACTAAATCGGAGGAATCCCCGTATAAATCCCCCACTTATTTACTTGAATCACGTGACGTCAAATAATTTCACGCCGACTCGCACACACATCCCTTTCCCTGTGTTTTATTTCTAATATTTCAATATTCTAATAAAATTTCTAATAAAATGATTACGAAAAATCGGAAGATATTTTACTGATGCGATAACTAAATAACTTCGAAATTTTATTATTCATAGAATCATGTTTTAAATGTATTTTTAACATTATTTTCAAATACAAAGTATTTATTAATCTAGTTTTTATTATTTATTGCTTTTATATCTTCACAAATATGATTTAAATTAATTAAATGTTATAATAATAATAATATCAATGTTTAAATTTACTTTAAAGTAATGATTCATAATTTAGCATCAACTTTCAAGAAATAATTTTATTTCACATGTATGTGTATATATATTATATATGTATACATTCTAAGTTTCTTCATTGCTTTCATATACTATACGATAAGTAAAGTTATAAATAAAATTATATCCTAAGTTCTAACATGAATCGCGTTGTTTAACTTAAATTCACGTATTTTTAAAAACGTGATTGCAGTAAAAAAATATATTCCGAAAAATACATCACGAAACAGTTTCCTGTAGCCTCTGTGATTGTTTCAACTAGAGTGAATATTTCATAATTTCCTTCACCTTGAAGGGCGATTTCAATGCGTTTTAAGCGCGCTTCTTTGTACGACGTTGAGATCTCTTTCTCCGATGAAATAAAATTGTGAATGCATCGAGAGAGAGAGATATGATCGTAGACTAAGAATTTCACTGAGACCTTTTCTCCCCCGTCGCGTTAGTTCGATACATTGTAGTGAAAGTACGTTTCTCGAAGATGGTTTCGCGCTATCGCGTTTCCTCGCGATATTAATAACGTCCCGACATCATGAGCCGTCAAGTTCCGATGACTGCGCGGAAACGTCATTCACTGAAAAACTACTGTCACGATGAACTCTTAATAATGACGTACAGCGTAATTGGATCCACTCGCGAAACGTTTCATGTCGAAATGTACGTATGTCAATGTGCTGAGATCGGACAAATTGCATAATCCTGACAAAACGTGACATTGCGGCTTTGCGTGGTCCGAGAGGAAGCGGGACTACACTTTCTCGAAATTACTTTCACGGAGATACCGCAGGAATTCCCGAAAAGAACCAACGTATAATACATTCTCCGCAATTTTACTGTTACTTTTACCACTTTCGTGAATTGCAGAATGGGAAAAGAGCGAAAAATGACAGATAATTATAAAGATTGAACGTATAAAAAAGTTATTCAGTTTTTTCTTGTGAAAGATTTGTTTGCGATTTTCAGTTTGATATAAAAAAAAATCACTCCAAAAAATACATTTTAAAATGCATTTTCGTCATTTTTCTAGGTCGTAATATCTGGTGAATACGACTACAGTGATCCAGTGATTCAACAGCAAATAGAAAACTTAACGAGCAGTCTCGAAGCGAGTAAGTACATCAGTGCTCCTGTCTACACCGAGAGCTGGCTCCGTAGCTTCATCAACTACATAACACGCAATCAGGAGTATCTGAACGCGAACATTACAGACGAGCACGACTTCATAAAAAATCTCAAAGAGCTCTGGCTCTTTCCTAACAGCGCCTTCTCTCTGGACGTTAAGTTCGACGACACGAACGAAAAGATCGTGGCGAGCCGGTTCCTGATACAAGCGGTGAATGTGAGCGGCACCAATCAAGAGAAAGACATGGTGAAGGAGCTGCGTGGCTTATGCGCGGCATCGCCGCTCAACGCGAGCGTGTTCCACCCGTATTTTGTATTCTTCGACCAGTTCGAGCTGGTAAGACCGACCAGCATTCAATGCATGATATTCGGGGCGCTCGTGATGATGCTCATCAGCTTCATCTTTATCCCGAACATCTTCTGCTGCCTGTGGGTCGCCTTCTGTATCGTATCGATCGAGTTAGGAGTAGCCGGTTATATGGCGCTGTGGGATGTCAATCTTGATAGCATCTCTATGATCAATCTTATCATGTGCATTGGCTTCAGCGTCGACTTCACTGCGCACATCTGTTATGCCTATATGAGATCGAAACAGCCGCGGGCGGAGGATCGAGTCAAGGAAAGCCTGTACAGCCTGGGTCTGCCGATCGTTCAGGGAGCCGCTTCGACGATACTCGGCCTGATGGCCCTCCTATTGGCCGGTACCTATATCTTCCTGGTATTCTTCAAAATGGTCTTCCTCGTGATCTTCATTGGAGCCATGCACGGTATGTTTTTGCTACCGGTGTTGCTGTCCCTTTTCGGGCCTGGCATCTGCAACGGCGGTGAAAACGAGCCCGATGAAGAGGAAAATACGAAGAACAGCACGCAGGAGAAAGAACTACAGGCGAGTAAGCTGCAACTACAACAACAGCAGCAGCAGCAGCAGAAGCAACAGTCGCCCTACGTGATCCCGCTTCCTCATCTAGTCTATTACGGTCCGGGCGACATCAAGCCACTCCAGGATAGTCCCGCGATGAGAGGAGCAACAGGACCAACAGTCGAATCAAATCCGCCACGACATGTGGAGGAGATCCATCGGCGTCCTGTATGGATTGTCGCAGTTCCAGTCCGCGATCGGCGAACCCCAGCATCCAGCGCCGGACTATCCCGGCGCCGAAACGCAACCGCGAGATTCGGGCGAGGACAATGGTTCGCGAACGGCCAACGTTCCTTGCTTAGGACCTTACGTTGTGTATCGCCACTCGAATCAGTTACCGTGCGATTACAGACGCAGTAGATCCTACCACAATCTCCAGTATCCTGCATCAACGCGGCATTTTACGGATCCCCGGTATCCTTAGAGGGAGTCGCGAGGGAATAGTATGAAAGATAGATTATCGACGCGATATGGGAGATCCCTCAAATTCAGTCTCTTGAAGCAGGACTATACTAACAATTTTGAGAAGAAGGAACGGTAATATTAAAATCATCTCGAGAAAAGATCGACATCGAACCCACAGACAATCATAGCATCCAAAAATAGTGCATCAATTATTCCGATATATCCTACTTTCAATTCTATTTCGGAGTAAAATAAAAATATATCAGAGAGAGAATCAATTTTAGGAAATATCAAGCTCGATATACGTAAAATATCTCGTATATAATTAATTAATTTCTCCCAATAATATATCTTCTACTCTTATTCTTCACGAATGGCCAGTACATTTTGTAAACGTTCGTTAAGCATTACAAGTAATTAATATTGGGAGATATTGTGTTTTAAATTTGAATTCTGAGAGATAACTACGATAATTGTAGTGATGTTCGATTACATGATAACTTTGTGAGACCATGATAATGCAAAGAAAAGAAAAGCAAATGGAAAGGAAACATTTTATGCAAACACTAACTAGAATGTCCGAGTTGCGATCCATTAGTTTCAAGGGGCTGAACTTCAAGAGGATTTTATTCTCAAACAGCGGAAGTAAGGAATAACGCCCGAGTATACTCGGATTCGTGTAAAAATTGTTTTTACTCTTTTCTAACAAATGGAATTTCAATCAAATTTAAATTTTGTTGTGCATCTAAATTTTTTCTTCTTAAATTATATAACAAAAAGAAAAAAAAGTTAAATAAATAATAATGATTAATTAATTGTGGCTATTGAGTATGAAAATGGAGTAAAAAAATAACAAAGAACTTTCAAGGTACAAATAAATGATATTAACTATACACTTTTTTTACAACGCTGCCAAAAATATTAATTTTATATACGAAGCTGAAAAAGGTTCAGGCGCCGCTGAATGAGAATTAATAATGTGATTTCGAAGACTTTTTGTACAGTAGTGCTTTTTTTACTACGAAATGGTGGTGAAAAAACGAAGTCGTTGAAGTTGTGTGTCACTACGTTCGTAGTATACATACGGGGTATCTTATATACGATATGGAAGCTTGAACATTACTTGAGGAACGAGCTGTCGTATAGAGTGCTTCAAAAATCAGTTGCAATTATATACATTTAGCGACACTACATTTCTTTAAGAAAACATATGAAGAATGTCGATCCTTCATTATAACGAGGAAAAGGCAGATTTATCAATTTCTCTAAAGATTTGTCGATCATTTCTGCTTCTTCGGAGGACTGTATCGTTTGTTATCGTACGTGTTTGGCCATTTAATTCTGTTTTATCTGACGTGGCAATATAAATATAAAAGAAGATTATATACGATTGCGTACGTCTGATCATTCTACATATATGACGAGAATACGGACCTAGCATTAAGTGTTAAATTTTAAGTCATACTTGAATCCCGGATTCTTAGATCCTGGGATCCTTGCAATAATCTGCCGATCCGTTTTCTCCCTCCGCTGTCATAGATTCTATAATTTTACGTTGGCGTATCGCGCTCTTCGCAGCCAAAGGGTTAGCTCTCGTAGCACTCGTATTGTGCAATGTCCTATACGCAAAGGGCAAAGCACTGATGCGAGAGGGTAGTGCCGGGACAATGTTGCCGGCATCAGGTTTAAGTTAGTCGTTAAGAATAGCTCAAATCGAAAGCAATATTATTATATATATACATGTTTATATATATATGTAATATATATGCTCAATATCAATCAAAACTAAAATGTCCCGCGATATATCAGATATACCGATCGGCACATGGTAGGGAAAAAAGTAAGAAAAACATGATACAAGAGATACAAACTAATCTTATAATAAATTATTATCTGATTAATATTTTGTAATAAATAAAGCTCAAAATTTTAAAAAGTGTGCATTTAAACGCAGATTAATGTTTAAAAATTACGAATAGATCTGAAAATTGATCGATTATCGGTTTTAAATTATATCTACACCGTAAAAAGCAGCAGATAATCTCAAAAACTTAAGATTATTACTTAAAGCAGTCGCATAAAAAAATGTCGAAATTTAGTACTTTTCAAATTTTTAACTGTAATTAATAGAAAAGAAATTCTAAAACATATTTATCATGCTTCAAGTTAACACGTGCTTTAGTAGCATTTTAAGCAATGTACAGTTTTTTGCGGCATTATTCTGATTAGCATAAAATAAACAGATTCATTCTTAAATATATTATATGCAACATTAATTTGCACCTAAAAGTACAAATTTAATATAAAGTGCTTTATTTCTTGTTAAATATTAAATAGATAATAATATATTGAAGTATTAGTTTTAATCTTTCTTTATCCTTACATGGCGACGTATCAGTTGTTCAGTAAGCGTGCCTTAAACAATTGACAGACATTTAGCACATTGTCGTATAATAAGTAATTCAACTTGGCAAGTAATTTGAGTAGGTTAAAATAAAGTTAATTATAAGGCAAAAAGTGTTCTATTTTACCTTTCAAGCAAGTGTACTCCAAATTTTGCCTTAAGAAGTTGTTCCATATTTCTGTGTAAAATATTTAATAAAGAAATTATTGATTATTTCATTTTAAGATTCTTTATTTTTAATTCTTAGTAGCATTTTATAGAAACAATTATTGAAAAATCGCTCTTAATCATCTTCTAATGGAGTACCTTGCGTATTATGATTGAAACTGTGATCTACAAAGGAATAGCTAGGTGAAAATAATTAAGCAAGACAGGACGCACGCTTCGCGATTCGGATAATACATTCGTATACGCGAATAAACAGCTTAATCGCTGTAAGCATTTATTGCATTTCCGTTTCTTCTAAATTTTGCAAAATCAGCGGTAAACACGAATTCTCGTTTTTTTTTTGCACAATTGGAAATCATCGTATATCTATTTTTGCGCGAATTTGTCAGTGCAACTATCGTGTCAATCAATCCGTAATAATCAACAATGACCATAAGCTTCCTAATGCAAGAAACTTTCTCCTCTTTATTAATGTTTTTTCACGCGCTTTTCAACGCGTATATATTTTATTGACTTTACTCTTTTCTGATTGTACCAAAAATAGCAGAAATATCTGCATAAATTATTAGGGATTTAAAATTCTCGAATTTATTTTTACTTTCTTATAATCAATATATTTTATTTACAGCTAATATATCTAAAGATACTTCACGAGTAAATACTCTCTCAATTATAATTAAATATAAAATAGGATATGATTCTAAGATTGCTTGAATTTTAATTCGGAGAAGAAATAAATTGAACATTTGTAAAATCAATCTCCATCTTTGAAATTTAAGAGAGGCTAAGAAAGTTGGCCAAAGTAAATTTTTTTATTAATTTATTTTAATACATACATATATATATATTAGATTAACAAGGAAAAAATTTTTTTTCTTATCAGTCTAATATATATATATATAAAGCGTTGATGTAATTAAATTCAAATAGCATGAATATAATCTACGAAATATCGAAAAGATGTATAAATTTTGAAGTAAACTTTTATAGCATTTTTTAAATGTTTTTTTAACGTGCGGTTTAGAAATTCCTATTTTTAGAAATTTATACGATCATTCTTCCTAATAATATAAATATTAATATAAATATTAATATAACAGATACATGTTCGTCACAAATTATGTAACGTTTGCGAAATTTTTAAGAAAGCTAAAGAACTCGAAAATTCCGAAAGACTGTTCGTTGTATTATGGAAACACTTAGAGAAAGCAAATACGACAATATTTATCTTAAGGCCGAATAATGAACAAAGATATACGTGGGAGAATATATCTAAAAAACAATCTTGCGGTCAATGGTGTACAGATAAATATATTCCTTTTTTCGCGGTTTGCAGCGTGCGTGTGTTTTCATATTTATGAATGCGAGAAAGAGTAGTATGAGTAAAATGATATTGTAGCTAATGGCAAACAGCCTGTTGCCGTTAGAAAGAAAAGCACAGGAAATATATTCTGGCAATGATCTTTTAAATGTGTGTCAACATTCTTTATTCTTTTCAAAACCTTTATCCTTCTTTGACTAAATAAAATTTATTGTCACACTCAGATAAGATTATTATTTATCCAATTATTTGACACAAGAATGATATTTAATAATATTTTCCCGTATAAAAGAGCTTGAATTGGAATATTTTTTGGCAACCTTAATATCTAAATAATAGACTATATTTTTATTTATTGAAACAATTGTTATTAAGTCAATCTCCTCAAATTCTTAAGTTATTTAACTATTAAAACTTTCTGACTCACCAACTCGATCCGCAACGGGCGGAGTTATTCTACCACGTAGCTACGATGATATTATAACATATAAGATTCCATTTAAAGATATACTCAAAATAACGTTTTAAAAGATGATTTTTACGCGCATTAAATTTTTTATTTATCTTTTAATTAGATATTTATTATATATACTTGTCCCTCGATTTACGTAGAGTATTCGTAAACTTTTCTTACGGGGTCGAGAATCACATAAATGAAATCTGCTGGTACAAAGAAATTAATACATATATGTACGTATGTAAGAGAAAAGCAGTGTATGTTGTAAAAATTATTGTATAAAATATCTATTTGTACAAAAAAAATAATAATAAAAGTTTAGGAAAAATACCGCGTAAATTGAGGGATAAGGGTAGAATATAATTATCTATTTTCCGAGAAAATCTTATAAAAATGAGAATAATCTTTTATAAAATTTTGATGGTTTCTTTTTTTTCTGATTATTAACTTAATTCAAATAAAAAAAAACTGTCCAAATAAATAAGAAAAAACTATTAATTTTATACAAATAAAAAAATAATATTCACCCCAAAGTTGCTCCGCCGGTGTCCGATGTCTCTCTCAGACCTCCTCCTCCTCCTCCTCTCAGAATTGGATTGTCTTCTCACACAGGACACTCGCGAAAAACACTCGCGGATAATACACTACAATCGCCCGCGGACTAATTGTTAATAAAAGTCTTTCGCGCGACACTGCGGTACTCCACGTTTACAAAACGATGATCGTGAAAAGTCCATTAGTCCGATAACTTTAAAGGCACTCCCGAAGCAAACGCGCGACGCGACGAACCGGCTACGGCTCATTCATTTTCATTTAAATCGGCGACGAGGGTAGATACGTTAGCTTCCCCGTCATTGAATTTTTAATAACGAGAGAAAGATCTATTTTTCATTTATTAGCGATTTCGATACTTTCTGTACATTTTTTAAAATGTAATAAAATAGAATTTAAATCTAAAAATAAATGCAGATTTTCTCTAAAATTGTTATTTTGAAAATTCATATGTATTACTATTATTATAGTATTATTATGTATTATTGAGTCAATTTTATTTTTTGTAAATTTAATAATATAATTATTTAGTTCTTTCGCATGAGTCTCTCTCTCTCTCTCTC